CCTCCCTCCCTTCCTCCCTCCCTCCCTCCATCCCTCTTTTCTTCCTTTATTTCTTTCCTTCTCTCCTCCTATCCTTTTTTTATTTATTCCATCCTCCTTAATTCCTCCTCTGTTTTCTCAATTTGTTTCTTTCTGAAACATTTCCTCATGACCTCATGCGAAGATCATCTCATTGCATTTTTTTAGTGTCATCACCAAGTTATTCCGAAGCAACAGTAACAGTCAAGGTACAAGACGAGAACGATAATCCACCAGTCTTTACTCAGCAAGTCTATCTCGGAAGTGAGTACAGACTGACCCCCCTTTTGACGTCGGACCATTATTATTCCTTTTAAGTGCCAGTAGCTCAGCAGAACTCCTGACCAGCCTGAAGAATTTATAATATTAATAATGACTTCATTGGATATACAGAATGATTGGGAATCCAATAGTCTACTTTTTGGTCGGTTTTTTTTTTTTTTCTTTTTGGTGTTCCGTCCAAAACAAATAATACCTTATTTTTCCTGTTTGAAGTTCATCACATTGTTTTCTTATTATGATAGGTTTTTATCCTGAAACTTCAGAAAGTGCAGTTCTGGTGACAGTGAAGGTGAGATCAATTTGAACATTTTATTAACTCACACACACATAAATATATACAAGTATTCACAGGAGTAATATTAATGAGTAATGAAAAAAGAGAAGGAAAAAGGCGTCTCGTAGTCGTAAACCACCTTTTTCATGGTTGATCTTTTTGCCAGGTTTTTGTGTTCATATTTCTCTTTAAAAAATATCTATTTAAAGAATTTGTTACCATCTTTTTTAATTTTTTGGAAGCAATTGATTGCCCTTTGCCTTCGGCAACGGCTAAAAATTGCTTGCTCTCCACTAACAAATGACGTTATTTTGCTCGACCTCGTCCAATAATAGAGCCCTTGCTTGTGACGTCAAAGGAGCTCAATTTGGAGGACTAAACAAAAGAATGTTAATCTATTGAGAATTAGAAACCTATTATGTCCTCCAAATTGAACTGTATTCCAAATAGCTGCAAGGAGTCCATTGCTTATTTTTCGTAACTTTGTTTATTTACGACTCTAAAAGGCAATCGATAATGACTCGGGAAGTAACAGCATCGTACGATACTACACCACAAACGAATCTCGCCCGGGAGTATTGTCGCTGAACTCTTTGACAGGTCACGTGATTCATAACAAGTCAGTCTTGAATGACACAACTACAAGTTATTCTATCCATGTGTCTGCAAGAGATAACAATGGCATGTCTCCATACAACACTGCTAGTAATCCCGTCATGGTTATGGTGAGTCTAGTGAAATCGTAATTATAGAGCTTAAGCATCAGGTTTACCGCTAACTGCAAACCCGCGCTAACCGCTGGGGATCAGTTCCAGAAACACGCCCGCAAACACTCAGGATAAGTAAATTTCAWTATGGCGGCTCTTCCAGCAACAACTTCGTTAAAGATGATGTTACACGGGACGATTCGCAACGACGATTTTTCGCGATACGCCGATTTTCGGATTCAGCAACGCGTTGCAAGTTTTTGATTCACCTTCAAAAACTCGCAACGCTGAATGGCGAATTTTATGCCAGTTGATTCGGATACCAGCTTCAACAACGATTTTTCGCGCAACGCATACCCAAAATGCACTTCAATACTCTCATAGAAGCGAGGCGATGCCAACAAGCAAGATGGCGGCTTTGAAATCGCTAACAATCGTGCCGCGTAACATGTTGATTTCGAACGAACGTTGCGTGAAAAGTTTACTCGTGTATCATGCATTAAAAATCGACGATTTGTATCGCGAAAAGTCGTCGTTGCGAATCATCCTGTGTAACATCAACTTGAGACGCCATGCTGAATATCTAAAGTTTGAAGAAAAAACTGACGTCGAACTGCAGTTTGAGGTTTGAGGTACTTGGCGAGAACGTCTTGTTAAAGGTCTCTATTATCTTCACAGTTACCATTACACTGGTTGTCATTTGTTATTTGTTTTAATCATAAAACAATGATCAGTATGGTTAACATGAATTAATTAATTTTCATTAATTTTCATCAYCATCGGTTATCACTATGGCTACACACATGAACTCATTTTCACGATGGTTACCATCAGGCAATTATCCCTATGGTTACCTTCATTAACTCATCATCACCATAGTAACCATTACTAGAGGTTATCATCAGTATGGTTGTCATGAATTCGCCATCATCACCATGGTAACAATGAACTCGTCATCACTATGGTTACAATAATTAACTATCATCATCCTATGGCTACCATTACCTTATCAAATCCATTACAATCACCAATGTCAGTTATAGATTAATTTTTAAATAATATTCAGTTGTTTGGCATCGTCTGTTTATTTCGTGGCGTGTTTAGCAAGGATGTCTTCTTACTTTAACAGGTATTCTATTTGACTTCAAACAACGCTGTCACTTTGGCGATTGGAGTCCCATTATCCTTCGTCCGAGCCAATCGTCAGCAACTGGAAGAGTAAGTAGGGTCACTTAATTGGTTTCTTTTCATAAAGGATGGGATGAGAATCACTTTTTTGCTCAAAAATACGAATATAAATAAAAAACGTTTTTTTCCCACCGAAATTTGATTGAGAATTTTTTTAATTTTCAAATGCCAGCCCCTCCCCCTCCCCCTTTTTCAATATGCTGCGCGGTCCCTGCTTCTACAAAGTTTTGAAGTTTTGTAATTGTGAGTACTTTAGCATTATTACAAACGGGAAATTTGAAAACCATAATTTCTATAGCCCCTGGCTCCTCCTTTCCTGACTTATACTTTGAAGAAAAATATAATCTTTCCTTTCTGTGTTTCTACAGCCTACTCAGAAACGTAACAGGACAAAGAGTTATCCTGAAAAGTTTGACACAGTCTCCAGATGACCCATTGTAAGTACTTTAACAATGTAATGGTAATATGTTTAGAGCGGTATGGAAGTGCCGTAATTGGACGTGACTTGAATTACCATGAAGTGACGTGACTGTAAAATGACGTGACGTGACGTAACGTGACATACCTTAGCTTTGACATCACAGAACCGAGCCCGTGACCAAATCTTTTGATTAAATGAACAATCTAGTACCCTATGGTTCAAGGTTATATTCTTTTATAAAAAAAATCATATACCTAAATGTAAAATGGGTCTGCTCACAAACATCCTCACATTACGTCTAAGTGACTTATAGGTTGTGACCAAGGCCTTCTTTTATATACGCATTTACTGTGTCTATAATTAGCCATTCCGTGATTGAGAAAAAAACTGGGTCGGACTGGCATTGCAGTGCATTGTGGGCCTGTTTAAAGGAACATATTTTCAAGGTGGCGTCTGTTTCGTCCCCTAAGGAAGTTTGGCAATTCGACCCAGKTTTTTTTCTCGACCACGGAATGCCTAATACAATTATTTAAAACATGCATCTTGAATGTGTTAGCGAACGCAGTTATTTGTACACGTTTTTTGCTGTTAATGATTATTGAGTAATTTTGTTTGAAGAAACGTTTATTTTATGCCTCATGAATGATGATAAGTCCATCGCATTGAAGTTATGATTATTGTTGTTCCAGACAAACCATTGCAATAGTTCATCTCGTCAACAGCAGCTCTATGACAGTCCTCAACAGGGATCAAGCAACCAAGTATGATTTAAAATATGCGACAGGGAAATTTAGTAAAAGACAAAGGATTTCTTTGTCTTCTAAATTTCCCTCATGTTCTATGCATGCGGGAAATTTGGGTTTGTAAAGCCCTCGGAAGACAAAAGAATCCGAGGTGATCATGGTATTACTCAAAATATAATATGACTATTCCTTGATAATACATCTAAGATACTAGCCTCCTTTTAAACGTTGCGTGAAGACCCTAAGAACGGCTGTAAAGGAGGCTACTAAGATACAAAAGCTCTGAAAAAAAAAAAAAAAAAAAAATGTAGATGAAACAACGACTACATAAACAGAAACCTTAAGTTTGATCATAACTAAGCGACTAAGCGAGAGAAAATATTACTATGAATAAATACACCTTAAATCAGAAACATCGTTTTAAAATGACCAAATGGTTTTTAGAGTCGCAGGATTAGAAGATAGAGAGATTTTACCTTAGTTTTTTTTTTTTTTTTTTTTTTTTTTTTTTTTTTTTTTTTTTCAGGATTCTAACTGACAAATCCGGAGAACTCGAAACACGATATCCTGAATGGAAAATCAGAGTGATTACAGTTTATTCACCTAATACTTCAGCAAAGCGCAAGACTGGGTACTTTAGCTTCTATATGGCAGCAATCATGTTGTTTGCCGTTCTGATTGGAATTGTGGGATTGATTGGGCTCATTGTTATATTCAGATATAAACAACGGTAAGTAATGAAGCCATGAAGAATAAACTAATGAATTAACAAACAAAGGAATTAATGAACGAGGTAACGAACAAAGGAAATAACTATTGGATGGATGGAAGGATGGATGGAYGGACGGACGGAAAAACGGATGGATGGATGGATGGATGGATAAATAGGCACCTAAATTTAAAACGGTTTCAGCAAAGAATTGTGAACGAAGGAACAAACGAACGAACGAATGAACGGAACGAATCAATGGATTAATGAACAAACGAACGATTAAATGAATCAAATGAGCACACCTTAATTAAAAACGTTTTAGACAAGAAGTCTAAATATGTTCAACACGAATTACGATTTTTTTTGTTTTTTTTTTTTGTTTGTAATTCGGCAGAAATTATATATTTTCTAAAATAATTTCATAAATAAAATAAAAAATCATTGGCGTCATGACTGTAAATTGGATATTGGTGATGCATTGACTCAAATGAAAAATTTCACGCGTTTTTGTAAAAACGGAGTAATTTCCCGAGCCCTCCTATAGTGATTTTACTTGGCCCGTTAAACGAAGTCGTATCATTAGTGGGTAATAGTCAAAAGAAAACAATGTTGTTTGTGTCTACTTCTACGTATTAAGTCGACTGTATTCTCACTGGCCAATTAAAATCACTCTAGCTTAAGTAAACACAAATCACCATGGCAACAGTGAAATTTCACCTCAAATTTGGAAGTAATTTGTCCTTCATGGTAATACGTGTAAGACTTTCTTTTTTTCTTATCCGCTTTACAAGACGAGTAATCGAGTATTACGCGTTGCTTTCGTATTGTACGTTTTCATTTCCGATTGTTTAATTTAACTGTACTTGTCACACCTAGCCTGTCGAGTGATCGCCCGAAAGCACGGGCAACAAATATTAATTTCTACGAAAATTTATCTTATTACCAGCAAAACTATAAATTAGAAAAAATGATAAAACTTTACTGATCATTAGTCCGCTTCGGACGATCGTCCATCATCAGGGATTCGGCTGAAATGAAAAAAAAAAAATTTTTTTTAGCAAAATAACTATTTTAAAATATTTGTTGTATTGTTAAAAAACTGAGCGTAGAAGAAAGGACGTACAATTATCTTCGAAACCAATGTACAACGAAATTCTGAAGGGTTTTAGTAATTTGTTATAATTTTTTTTAAAATAAAAAATAAATAAAAAAAAGTAATTTGTTATAATGATTCCAAAACAATTACGATGGTTAAAAGTTTTTACTTTGTTTGTATTTCGTTACTTGCTCTACCGACGTCTTTCAACATCTGTCTTCCTAAAAATTAAAATASCAATCTCATTTAAGTAAAACCATTCAAGCAGCTTTCACTTTTCCCTCGCCTTCGTAGCATGACGTCTATTCGCATAAATTTCATTCTGGAATTATTTTCCATCATATTAAGAATGATACAAGATTTTATTTTGATGCAGCTTGAGAATTATTTACAAGATATATTTAACATCCACGGTATTAAAATTCTTGTGGAAAAAAATGTATTCTTTAAGTTCGATTCAGAAGGTCTTGTTTGTTGAAAGCTAAAATTAGTTAGGGACCGGAAAACGACATCTGCCACTAGTGACCAATCACAAGTGCAGCTTGAGGCTTAATTTCCTTATTCATTTAAACCAACAAAAAAGAAGAAAATGAATAGAGGCATTTCAATTCGAAGCTAATCTTCCGTAAAGCAAACAGAATATTCCCTTTGTCATGTTTTCGAACCCCTGAGCTCGGTGTTGGACGAATTGGGCCACGGAAAAAGTCATGGATACCTTGTTGAACGAAACCTTATTCCAAGAGAATCAGCAACAATGTTATTACCTGGACATTTTACCTTCCATAGTTCGAAGTAATAGCATCTATTTTTTGGAAGTATTTCTCTGTTTTGTAAAYGGTATTTCATCGATCATCGCTGTCTCTGCAAATTTGATAATCATCATCGTTATCTGTAAAAATCCTGCTCTTCACAGCAATTCAAATTTTCTTCTCTGTTGCTTGGCTTTTCCCGATGCGTTAGTGGGATTCGTGGTTCAACCGAGTTACATTGCATCAAAAATAGGAGAATTATTGAACATTTTCTCATTACAGTGTGAAGCAAGAATGTTAATGGAAAGTACTGGTCTCATCAGCGCCGGTGCCTCATTATGTACCCTGGCTGCAATCACCCTAGACATGTTTCTTGCTCTCTATCTCCATTTACGATACAAGGACTTGGTTACCAAACGTCGGTTGCTAGCTTTAGTTATTTTAGCATGGATTGTGGTATCAGTTGCAGCACTTTTAAGACTATGRCTTGATAATACGATAATAGGAATTGCTGTCGTTTTAGGCCTTACGTTCAACTTGATAATAATTATAGTTTCCTATAATAAGATCCTTAAAGTCGTTCGTCGTCATTCAAAACAGATATATGGCACTGGGCAGACATCTACTCTCTCAACCAATAAACGCGGTAGAGAGGTTCTAAAACATAAAAAGTTTGTCTACACGATGATGTACGTCGTTGTTATCGTTATGTTGTCTTACATTCCTTTGGGAGGCGTCGTTTTCGTTTATATTTACAAGGGGAATTACAGGAATTTACAATTAGCTTTTGATATTACAGTCTCTTTAATGTTATTAACTTCAAGTATCAACCCCGTTTATTACTTCTTCAGAATAACTGAAGTAAGAAAAGCTGTTTTGAAAACACTAAAAAAGACACGCATTGAAGATGCAAGTTTAGGTAACATTTCAAGAAGAGGTACTAATTGGGTTCAAAGCGAAATACGCCAAACAACAAACGTATAAAGTAAAACTTTAACGACTATAAGTCTTGTAAAATATTTAAGAACTTTTTTGTTAATAAAGTATGGTTTTGATATCTTTTTTAGCCGAAAAATTGATTGTAAAAGACAATTCCAGAATTCGCTTGGATGACCAAGAAACAATGTTTTGAAGTCAAGACTGAACTTGATTCTTAGTTAATTTATCAAGTTCAATCGCGACTTGAAACTGTCGTTTCGTGAATGGAATTCGGAAAGGTCGATTTTTAGCGAATGCTGCATCCTGGTTCTCAAGCTCGTTTATACATTAAACAAATCGATATCAAGTTTTTATGTATTTTATGGACGATAAATTGCGTCGTCAAATTTTCAAAGTAGTGTGGATCTACGAGGCGAACCGATCTTAGTGATCAAAACAGCCAACGAAAAGAGCGCGCGCTCGTTAACGTCAGCTTATTTGCCTGTTTGATAAAGACTAGTCAATCAGCGCGCGAGAAATTTCTAAGTCATTGTAAAATAATCAATAGAAACTTATTCTAAAGAGCTTTTGTCAATTTCTCCGTTCTATATTAATATTAATTAATTATCTAATAGCATTAATTATTAATTAGCATTAATCATATATTAATATTAATTAATTATCTATTAGTATTAATTATTAATTAATATTAATACTTAATTAGTAATAATTAGTTATTAGAAATTATTATTATTTTGTCAGTTAGTGCCAAAACAACATGCATTTGTGGAAAAAGCTGTTTTGTTTCTGAAAATAAATAAAGGGAGGGTATACGCGTATTTGTTGCTTTGTTACATCTTTTTTCTCTTTTTATTTCAGAGAGAAAAAGTATCATGATCCAGATACTCAAGGGATTCCCATGAATGGGACAGAGACCGATTTGTAGTAAGTGAAAAACGTTTCCACACGAGTATTGCTGTTATTATCGCCTTACTGCAGCCCGACACTAGAGAAAAGCGTTTGCGCTTGCGTGCATTTCAGCACATTTTCTAATTTTTGGCATTTTACGAAGTACAATTTATCATGCATGTTTCAATGTCAAATTTACAACTGCTTTGACTAATTTGCATACGGATTTAGAGCATGCGTAGACGTTTTTCACCCGTGTCCTGCAGCCCTGCACCTGCATTGAGTACTAAAGTAATGCCGTCATAAAACGTAATTTGCGTTTTATCATAATTTATGTTCATTATGCAATCGAGAAAAAAAAGACTTTTACTCACCAACTTTAAATGTGAGCTGAGATATAGCCATTTACTGTCGTTCTACTCTAACCGTCAACACTCGAGTATATTTTATTTTATTTTTGTATTTGTGTAAATATACTTTCATTTTTTCTTTCTCTTTCATCATTTCATCTCCTGGAATAGCTTTTATTGACTTTCGATACATGTAACTCGAATTATAGTCTTCGATTTGTTATCTGTTTGGTTGACAAACTCGAGTGTTAGAGTAGAACGACAGTAAGTATATAACTTCCCCATACAAAACACTTTATTTTTGATTCTGTTGAAATATTGTTACAGCCCCCCCCCCCCCCCCCATGGTGACGTCACATTGAGTTCTCTGATTTACTCTTATCCTTACATTTGATAACAGGCACTAAAGAAATATACCTCTTTACCCTTTGGGCGTAATGTTTTCCCATTTCGGTTCACGTGTCATTCTCTGGAGAATAAGATTCATTCATGCACAATTGTTAAACAAAGAAAGGATACTCTAGGGAATGACACGTGATCTAGGAAATGAGAAAGCAATCCAGCTGGGCGGTGAACTCGRCGAGCAAAGCATGAGGGGACAAAATGACTGGCCCTAAGCATTTTTGAAGCTTGACAAGACAGTAAAGTGAAACTGTTTTCATTATTCCTTTGCATATTTCTGCTTCGCGTAGCCACGTATATTTAGCAATTATTCGCCGAAGGCGAAGTGAATATCGAGGAATATTTACCGAGACCCGAGTCTTCGAACGGCGATGTAAATATTCTCCATATTCACTGAGCCTGAGGCGAATAATTGTTTTAGCATATACCAACTTTTGTACAGAGTAACTTATTTTTATATACAATAATTCAATAAAAACAAAAAAACAGAAACATTTTTGCAGGACAAATTCACGCAAAACTTTTAGCAAATTTTTTAGGCCATACTTCGTTGTCTTTTAGTATTGATAGGAATGGCATTTACTTTCATTTTTTCAATTTCCTCGGAAATTGTAGCAAAACGATTGCCGGCAGATGCCATTTTGTTGCCGACTCAATATTCCGAGATTCAGAGGTGAATATCGTACAATATTCACCTCCAATTAACCAATGAGCACGCGCGTTCTTAGGAAGTACACAAGTTAGTATATGCTAATATATTTTAGTCAAAAGAAAACAAAAAATTACCAAAAGTTTGAATACTTTAGCTTGTGAATGATGCCTTGAAGCAAAAAAGCTAAACGCGGTACTGCGATTGACTAAAAAAAAAATTCACCGCTCAGCTGGTTATATTTAAGCTAAAAATTTCTATTGGAAAATAATTTTACTCAATTTATGTCGCATAATTTTTAAGTCCCCCGGTATTATAACTTAAGGGGAAAAATAAGTAATTGAAGACCTCACGAACAGTTTTTCCCTATCCGGACCTCCTGGCCGCTAAATAACATACATGATTTTTCAGTTCCATTGACATCCCAAGAATAGGCGCCTACATTGAGTCGCGTGCCGATCACGTGTAAGTATACATTGTAGTAGAATTAGTAGGGTCACAGTACGACAGTGAAGAAATTAATGCTCAGCCAATGACATTCCAGTTTGCACGGCATATAACATCCGCACTGTTAGTTTGTAACAGTCAAGAAACTAGAGAAAAACGTTTGCGCGTTGGTGCATTTTAGCGGCGTTTTCTAAGAATTTTGAAGAGTTTGAGTGARAAAATAAATGTTAGTTTTCTCCAAGTATAAAAAAAAAAAAAAAAAAGAAATCGAAAGTATATTTTGTCAGACCAAGATAGACCAAATTCAAAACTCGCACCGATGTGAGGCTTAAGTTGTGACCAAAGGAATCTGGCGTGACTCGAAGTAATCTTCGAGTCACGCCAGATCCCTTTGTTCACAACTTAAGCCTCACATCGGTGCGAGTTTTGAATTTGGTCTATACTGTATTAACAAAAACAATATGAAAAAATTAGCCTTAAGTTTCAAGCATGGACACTACGTTTGGCATATTGTGAAGTCCAATTTATCAAGCATGTTTGTAAGTCAAATTTATGTGTTTCAATTTTTAAATTTGCATAGGAATTCAGAGCATGCGCAGACGTTTYTAACTYCTGTCAACAGACGTGAGATGATTATCGTTTCCCCTTCATCTGGCTGTATTCCTATTTCTCCCGCTACTTCGTATCATTAATCTTTTTTTTTTCTATTCAAAAATAACCGCCATGATTATAGTCTATTTGCACGTTTCTCCCGTTTATTAACTTTTTAAAGTGTAATAATTTATTTATAAAACTTTCAGAGGAAAAGCTAAATACAATGATGGGGTGCAAGATGACAGGTCAAATCATCGAAATTCCACCAATGAGGTAAATAATAGTAAATCACGTTTACATAAAGAGGTAAAAGTGAAATGTCCAAAAATTTGCAGCCAGGGTTTATGTTAATTTTAATTAGATTAGCTGAATTATTTTTTTAAGAAAAATAAAGAAAAGAAAATCTAAATTAGATAAAAATTAGAGATAAATAAAAATAGTAAATAAATAAATAAAGTTTTTGACTTTTTAGTTGTTTTTTTTTTTTTAGAACGTTGCTTTCATGCGAGAGGATTTTCTTTAACAAAACTGGAAGAACAACATTTTGTGATGGAAATAGTTTTTGACGATTGCTAACTCAAAAATTAGGAATGACTCAAAAACAATTGGGAATCTTATGTTAAGGAAATAAATGACAGGCTTATTTATTTATTAATTATAAAAACAATAATAATAATAACAACAACAATAACAAACCACGGAGCTAGGGACCTCTCCCCCACCCCCCTCCCCCCACTTCGATTCTCCTGATTCTCTCGGCAAATTAATTGCGTAAATAAGATATAAAGAAATTCAATGAGCCACAGCTCAAAACGCTAGAAATCGCAATTATTTGGGTCTCAATTATTTACAATGTAAATTTAATAATTACATTTCTTTCTTTCAAGGAGACTGATGGTCCAGTGCAAGAAAACCCAAGGAATGATGCTCTTACGTCCCTGCCTCCTGTGGAAGAGCCGACCGTCTCTGCACRTGAAATCCGTGGATCGTCGAAGATAGATAAAACTACAGAACGTCAGAGCTCTTCTCAAGGTAGTCCAGACAACRCATTGGATGATAATCAATCAAATTCATTGGAAGAATCAAAAGCTGAATTCTTTGAGGAAAATGACTTTCTAAACAAAGCTTACGATGAAAGTGAAGATGGGTCACCTAGCGACCAACACAGCCAAGCCGAGACTCGCAATGTAGTTCCTAGTATAACATATGTGCAAAGAAATCCATTYATGAAAATAAACCCAAGAGGATATTCGCCGGATGCGATAAACAGAGAAGAAAACCTGATGGCTGTAGGACGTGGATTGAATGGAAGGTCACCTAGGAGATCCGACAGCTACTCTCCTGCAGACTATCAAACCAAGAATAATACAATGCTTTTGAAGAATGGACAAACAAGTGGTGTGAACTTCCCCGAGAGAAGAAGGTTTAGTATATCAGGTGTTTACGATATCCAGAAAAGATGGAAACAGCAAAAGAAGAAGAAGAGAAGGCGTTCGCGTTCCCCGCATGTTCACTTCGACTTAGAGGACAATAAACACCCCGATGAGCTTGAGTGGGAAAGACAAGTGTCCGTTGGAGCCAGAAACATGCCAACTGGCGCTCTGGGTCTTGATGACGAAGACTGGAGCGATGCTGAAAAACCCTTAGATTTTTCCACATTCGGGAGATCGAAAAACGAAAGCAAGACTGATGATTCGCCTGATTCGAGTATTAGTGGTGGCGATGATTGTGAAGTGTGGAATCTTGAATCTGCTTACCCGCCGTCTGATGACGAAAAAACGACGACTTACGTCATCAACCCTGACCTGAAAAAACTAAACGAAGTACCTCTTGTAACTCAACGGTAAATTTACTTTGCTGATGGACAAACTTTTTCTAGATAGCCTTCTAAAGGGCCCCAAGGGCTTTAATCCTATTTTTTTCCCCATTACGATTGGACTCAGTATGCGATGAAGAATATGCGTTCAAGAGGAAATATCTCTGCCAGTAAAGCAAGAGTTGGATTGGATAGTCTTTTATGGAGCCCCATGGCACGTCAGTCTTTTACAGGGCCTCAACTAGGGCATTTACAGTAAAAGCTTAGTTCATTAAGATTTCCCTTAGTATGCGATGTGGAATAGGCGTTCAAGATGAAAGCTAGTGACAGTAGTAGTTGGATTGGTTAGTTTTTTACATGGCCTCTTTTACTGGCCGCTTTAACTGTAAAAGTTTAGTTCATATATAAAGATTGGCCTAAGTATGCGATGTAATGTTTTAAAAACGAGCAGGAGTGTTCTATCGGATATAAAACACGAGGCGTAGCCGATAAAACACGATCTRCGTGTTTATTAAACGGCTTAAAAAACTCATGATGTAAGTTCTCATATTGTACCGAATTCTTTACGAAATGAACCAAGTTTGATAGAGAAAATCCAAGTTAATGTTTATGCAAATGAAGACGAATATATATCATTAATGAGTTTTTTAAGAAAAATAGGTGTTCAAGAAAAAAAAGATCTGTTAGAAAAGTAAGAGAAGAGTATAGTTGGTTTTGATAGTCTTTTACAAGGCCTTAACGGCTCTAAAAGTTTCGTTCATTACGATTTGCTTTAGTATGCATTGTACAATTTAGTTGTTTGTTTAGATGAAAGAGCTCTGCCTGTAAAGAGTTTGGTAGATCGATTATTCCCCCGCTGCCTCACACAATTGTTTATACTTCTCGTAGCCTTAATATTTTCGTTTAAGATACTATTATCTCAGAGTGGGTGAAGTGAACAATTATCTTTCACCGATAGCGGGTGAACTTCAACTGCAGGGACCACCGATATTACTCGTTCCGACACTGAGAAGGAGAAATGGATCGAGTTGGCATTGTGGTGCATTGTGGGGTCGTTTTAGGGCACGAAATCGATGCCATCTTGGAAATATGTACCCTAAARCAGCCCACAATGCACCACAATGCCAAATTGACCCAGTTTTTTCCTCAACCTCGGAACGGCTTACAGTGTTCACACTTATAGCGCTCGGTGGTTGGTGCCTGAATACAAGGTCCCAAACTTGTACTCGGGCACAGTACTCGTCCCTGAATCTTGATGTGATTGCTTAAAAATAGCTGTGCTAGCATAAGTGCCCAGCAAGGATTGCACTCTCGAGCACTGTGTTCAGGAACCAGGTATTAACAAGCCTTGTACTCGAGCACAGTACCCATCCCTGTTGAGGTTTTGGCGTGGTTTCTTCAAAATTATCTGTGTTCACATTAGAGCACAGCAAGGATAGCATTCACTCAAGCAAACACGCACTACGACTGTGACTTTCTCACGACTTAATACAATGGAAGAAGTACAATTATTTTGAATCTTAACTGACACCATCAAAAAATAATTAAAGAATATAAAAAAAGTCGTTTTTTAACCTTATTTTCTTTATTGCTATGTAATGCCATTTTGTTGTACGACGTCATGTCACGATTGTGACTTTTTCGCAAATATTATTGTCGTATTTCTTCTTCTTCTTCTTCTTTTGGGGATTTGCTTTCCCTGCTACCATAGTCTCCCTCGGCAATTCTTGGCAGAGAAAATGGGAGAGAATCGCCCACGAGGGACACTTCTAGCAGGAAACGGATTCTTGGCCTTCACCGAATTTTCATCGAAAATTTTCCCGATACGTATATACAACAAACCTTCCACACAGACCGAAAGAACAACTAAAACTGCTTATCTCAGCCAAAATTCTAGCTAAAAGAAGTTTTAGATACGGAGATACGAGCTATTCGATTATACTTATAATTTATTTGAAATGTATGGGTGCGCCATCTTTGTGTCCTAATGAGGGGCGCAAAGATGGCGGCCAAATCACGAAGGTTGAAAATCATGTTTTTATTGCTCCCACTTCAATATTTTCATAACAATAATCATCACAATATAGTCATACAATCATCTACCTACTTAAAAACGTAATATTCTATCGAATTTCCCTATTAATGATGCTTTTAAAAAGGGGGGACATAATAGCTCGACAGAGTTTCATGAACTGTTGTTATTGTTATTTTGTCATCTTCTTTTGAGTTATTCCATGACATCGCAATTATTTTGTAGTGTTGTTTTTAGTTACTACGGGAGCACTGGCTTATGCATGTACCTATTGAGTGTTCTGCCAATCCCCAATTGCTTTATAACCAGTGCACACAGCATAGTTTTTTAATTAAGTACAAGTATATCAAAAGTATATAAAAAATTATGGGATATCATCCCTGATATTTTTTTCTAGTTTTCTATCACTAGGGCTTTCCGAAAAAAGTATCAGGGAGGATATCCCATAATTTTATATATATATTTTTATATACTGTATATTCTTGTATATATATATATAAAGGGTCAAAGTTTATACAAACTGTAGTATATATCGTACAATATTGACCTCCAATTAAGCAATGAGCGCGCGCGTTCTTAGGAAGTACACAAGTTGGTATATGCTAAATAAATATATATATTGAATTAAGTAAATGACATCTCTGAACTACTTTTATATGTCATTCACTGATGAATATATATGATACTGAAATTTTTCATCTACTTTACTGACGGCTTAACTTAATTCAGAAATGTGCTGAGAAAAAATCGAAGGCAGCAAAAAATAAAAAATACACAAGACGGAAACAAGTTGGAAAAAAAAAAAAAAAAAAGAAAAAAAAAGCGAAATGATAAGTTTAATTTAACCAGAAACGAATTAAGCGATCACTTACGATCACTTGCCTGAGAGCTACACGGGTCTTGATTTACCAGTTCTCTTCAAACGCATCAATAATTCAATAAATTGAAAAAGTGACCTCTAAATTTATTATTCCGAGACCAAAACATTAAAACTGAGTGACAAACTTGTTTAAGTGACTTTATATGTTGTTTTAGTATAGTATTTTTATTTTAGTTTCATAAATTGAATATAAAGTTCTTATAATCTCGCAAGGAGCTCTAAATACAGGTTTGGTTTCTTCAAGAGTGGCAAACCTACCTGTTCTGTGCCAAGTTTATTCGCTTCAAGGATCAGTTGCTCCTTGCTTTAAATTACATCACTTTATATGTGTCCTTTGTTGGTTTAACGAGAGAAAAAGCGACGTAGGTTCTCTGTTTTGACTGTAAAAATAATATCGACAAAATGACTTTGAAATCATGATGCTCTTACATGTAAAACGTCAAATTTAAGTGACAAGACATTTGAAATTACACTTTACATTCATTCAAAAACCCAAAGGCTTAAAAACTTTAAAGATTAGCTGAAGAGCAAAAAGTAGACGTTGAAAAAAAAAAATGCTTTGGTATAAAGGTTACTTATGTGTCGTTTTTATTTATGTCTTGATTGAAACACTTGATGGACGGCACATCAAAAAATGGACCGCGAAAAATAAAGGTAAGATCATTTGTGACATATTTTATATAATATGATTTATAAAATCAACAGGCTATTTCATTTCTCTGTTTGCAAATTAACTGTTGAGGTTTTAGTCCATGTTTATTACTGTTCGTTATATTAACCAAAAATACCTAGTTCTAAGACAATTTGGCGGGGGGAGGATATTGCATGATAACTATAAAGTGTGAATTAGATGTTGCGCCGTACAGACGTTTGTATACACCTATTTCAATGAACGATGTCATCGTCAAAGGCGATAGGCTATAGGTTATAGGCGAGRTTCGTTATTCCAGGATCCAAGAATAGCTGGAATGACTTGTGTTTCTGCTTCTTATTCTCGTCAAGAACATGGACCTTAGTATTGAGACTGACTCAATGTTCTTTGTATTCAACGAAACCATTTTCGTCTCGGAATGACCTATCGCCTATCGCTTTTGGTCAGGACAACGTTTATTGAAATAGGTGAATGCAAACAATAATAATAATATTTATTTCTACTTTACACTGAATCYGGACATGATGAAACAATAAATCATAATTATCGCGCATAACTGATAATTCTGAGCTAAAAATTAGTGATATTTAAAAGGTGGTTTCCCGCATTTGTTTAATATTTTTTATTTGTTTTATATTTTGTCCATGGCTAKTAGTTTCACACAAAAGTCAAAGCACAAAGACCAAAAGAGAAGAAGTAACGGGAGACCTGGAAATCGATGGAAACAGTAAGTATACACTTATATTTATTTATAAATGTACAATATAGGGTCACAGTTTTTGCATATGGCTATATATACATATATATACCTAACCACAACAATTCTGTTACTTCAGATATATATATGTCTTTTGTTTTCGAGAGACGAAACAATATRGAACCAAAAGATGTAAAGTTGCAGAAATGTTTTGGTTAGGTATATATATGTATATATTGTGGTTAAAATTGTTGAAGATTTTAAGATTGATTCGTTGCTTTATTGCTACAGGTCTGTTTTTATTTTGCTAGTGTATGTTTACTGTAAATAAAGCTTACTTATAAAAAATGTTTACTGGAATTGGTTGATTCGTTGGCTGTTACTTTTTACTTTACTTTTTATTATTTTTATTATTATTTACGCATTCTTTATTAGAAACTCGCACACATTATCTAAATGAAAAAAAGCTTTATTATTTAAAAGGGGTTTCACTCCAAAAACATCAATTCTTTAAGCTTTYATCTAAATTATCAGCAGCCATTTATGAAAGTCGTTTCATCCGTGATTGGTGATGTTTCACAGAATTTCAAAGTATTGGTTGCTATCGGGATGCTTGGAACCGAGTCATTCCTGCCCTTGAAGGCGAGCACCAGTTACTAATGGAACCTAACTACAAGGCAAGGAAGTACGCCTTRCTGAAGTGCGCACGCGCAGCAGCTGACAAACAGCTCAAAATATTTGGYATAGAAAATGGTGGACAGTGTTTTGGGGCTGAGGAAGAGAAAAGCCTGAACAAATATGGAAAGGCGGTTGAATGTAAGGGTATGTATGTTGAGCACGCACCGTCATTAAGCTRTTAGCGCCATTACCCAAGGAATGCTGGCATGTACGCGCAAAATCATTTGACTGTTTCCATTCGYTAAGTTGCATCATAAGCTGCCATTATTTATTTTTCTTCTGAAAGGTGACGGCAAAGGAGGACCTTGGAGTCTACAAGCTTATAAGTGAGTAGGAGCAATTGTTGAACATCTTATATACACTTTTTAAAGCTTCAAATTTCATTGAACCATGAAACGATCTCTGGGCCGATCTAATTCAAGGCGTGGTTAGTTCACAGACCAAACCCTGAAACAAACCTCTGGGTTGGTACGACTAACTCACAGATCAAACCCTGAAAAGAACCTCTGGACTGATCTAAGTCAGGGCACAGCTAACTCACAGATAGCATTGGAATTTGGCTGGTAAGGTTTTTGCGGAGGAAGGATAATCTTAGACGGCAGAGTAAAARCCCTAAAATCCGAGGAAGAAGTCCAACAAACTCCACTCACAAGCATGAGATGTCGAGTCCACTGACAAACCGAACCTGAGAACCCAGTGGTTACTTTTTTTTCTGAACTGTTCTAAAATGAATGTTGTTTGGTGGTGATGTTTGATTTTACGATACAAAAAAGGAACCCATGATGCTGTCAGTTTAAGGTGTTAATAGCTGCCATCTCTTTCATTATCAGGTTTAAAGATCTTTCGACGGACGGCGCCTTCACAGATTGGTCCGCATGGACCACATGCAGCAAAACCTGCGGACATGGAGTCAGGAGGCGCATGCGCACCTGTACCAATCCCACTCCGTCTAACGGTGGAAAGGATTGCTCTGAACTAGGACCGAGTGTTGAAGGCGAGATATGTAAAGACAAGGAATGTCCGAGTAAGTGAAAACAAAAGAAATGTTATTACATGGTTTTTGAACTTTAAAGTTTCTGGGTTAAGCGGGGAAAGCGGCATGACACTTTTTAAGGGTAATACCGCTGATCGCTCGTCCCAGTCTCCTTTCCCTATTCCCATTTCCCTGTTTTAGTAAAGTCCGTTGCGCGGCCGTTTATATTAACTAACAAGACGATCTAGTTACCTTGATTAGATGATAATTAGATCTTCTTTCATTAAAACCACCTACACCTTCGAAAAGAGCATTTGAATGTAGAAAGTTTGAATGGCATAGCAACAAAACCTTCTAAAATATATATATAGATCGTTTTCTCAAGGTTGCGTGAGCATCCAACTTGACGGGCCACAAAACTGAAAAACGCAAATTCAGTAAAATGGAGAAAACAGTTTTATATTTAAAGAGGAGAATAATCGATTTTATGAATTCTTATCGAAAAAAATGTCATATCCATGCATAATAATACTCGTGTTCTGGTATCGTGGCCCGTCAAATTCCATAAATTTGGTGCGCACTCAACCTTGCGAAAATATAGTCTATTGGAGATCCCACTTCACCTACATGATGCATTCTGGTCTAACTGGGCATAAATAACTCCACATAAGTCACAATAAAAAAAACCCAGCTGCATCCAAACTATACCTGAATAGACGTACACATTGAACACTCAAGAAATTCGTAGCATCAATTATAAATATCAAAATGTTTAAAAAGACCTTTATCATCATTTGACATTTCGTATTAAGTTGTTGTGATTACGTTTCCTTTTTATGAAAAAGATTAATTTTGTATATCTAGTTTAGTTTAGTTTAGTTTAATGAATTCTTCACAAAATTACAGAAATAATAATTCTATGACAAATACAAATAATTCAGAAAAAAAAGAAAAGAAAAAAGAGAGAGAGAGAGAAGATACGGAGTGTGACAGTGGAAAGAAACAGAACTTACGTCCCAATAGCAATCTAGCCCCCTGATTTGTTTGTGTAATGATGGAGCGCTTTATAGTAATATATGATTCTAATTTCAATAATTTCAATTCGCCTTCCCTGAATAAAGCTATGCTTCTCGACGAAGCTGAATCTGGGAACACTGCTGAACCAACTCTGTCAACCACACCGCGCAACACCGCTGTACCTGCAGCCGCTACCTATCGACCAACGATTATTCCTTTAAAAACAGAAAAATCGAAACAGAAGGAAAAATTATCCATCGATTCGCCAACCAAGGTTAAAACTGACAGCCATAAAGATTCACCACAAGGGGATGAAAACATGAGCAGGGAAGAAACAAGTCAGTCTGGAAAGAATGSGGGAGAAGGGTACKCACGAAAAACAGAAAAAGCAAGTATATCTGGGGTTGATAAACCCCTTTTCGTGACGAAAGAATCACCTGAGGGACGTGTAGAGCAGAGCCAAGAGTCTAGGTTAAACGCGCATGCGCAGACGTCAGTGCCATTTCAACAACTCAACGAACCAGAAGACCAAGCCTCCCCTCACGGTAACCTCGTGCCTCCAATGGACCAATCAGGGAACATTAAACCACATGGGCGAATTAATGAACAACATATTCCACCAGGCATCGATCCAAGCATTGTGGAGGATACCTACAATGGTATGTATAGAACATGAGAAACCGAGACCAATTTTGTTCAAGTCATCCAACATGGCGACTATGACGTCACATGCACAAGAAAAAAAGACATGACCGCCATGTTGGTTGATATAACAAAAGAAACCGAGACCAAATCTTTTGTTCAATTTAACCAACATGGCGGCTATGACGTCACATGCACAAGAAAAAAGACATTGCCGCCATGTTGGTTGATATACCGAAAGAAACCAAGGCCAATTTTTTGTTCAAGTCAATCAACATGGCCAGTATCGAGTCCCAAAGAGTACACAAAACTGGATACGAAAAAGCAAATGTATGAAATTAGGAATGTAGGTAAAAGATCCTAGATCACCCAAAAAAAAATTACCTCAGAAATATATATATATAACTTTTGGTTAGAATGAGAGTTTTTGGTTGTTCATGGTACTCGAGGCGATAGTTGAGGAACCTKTTTTGTTGCTGTAGGTGGTCCTGTGGTGCCCAGTAGTGCAGTACAACTCAATACTCCTCTTGGTCCAGTAGTGATGGGTGAAGTCARTCCTTTCAGTACGACTATCAACCCTGCTGAACAACAAAACGATGAACAACAACCAGATGATTGCTTCTGTCCAAAGAAAGGTATCGCAGGAATATGTTTAATATTTTTTGTTTATATTGTGACTCGATCAATACTAGTTATATATAATACWGTATAATTTTAAACTTAAATATAGAGTTTCCCGCACTGTGATTGGGCAAGTCACCAGTGATTCTGTGACGATAATCACTGCTCGAGCGGTGATTATGAGGTTTCCCAAACTTTGTCAGATGGGGAAGCAAAATGAAAACATTTTTTAAATCCTAATTTCGTCTTTTCTCTGATATGCAAGTCTAAAATTATTCTCGAAGACCTGCGGCTCSTTAAATATTCCACAGATAATCACTTCGCCTTAAGCGAATAATTGTTCAATAATCAATTATTATCATTTTGTTTCAATGTACAGTGTGTAGTGCAAAGGCTGACATAGGGTTCCTAGTTGATGGTTCATCGGACATCCCTCAGGTGTACTTTGCGCATGTCTTGGACTTCGTCAAAGCCCTGGCTCGAGGATTTGACCCTCGTGGCATACAAGTCAGTTCATTCTGTTTTGAATCATATTATAAAATAATTATGTTGTATCGCTCTGTGATTGGTTGGAAGCTGCGTGGTATATTAGAACACATAGCATGCCAGCGCACTTTCCAATTTATGTTATTCGTACCCAAAATAACATTTGTGGTGGTTTGGAATTTTTTWAAATAAAACTTGCACTGCTTGTYATAAAGCACTTTGGGAATGGCAAATTCAGAACACTCGAGAAGTGTTGAAAAGTATCACCTTCACTTCCCGTAAGGGGAGGTTCCCTTCACACGCACTACCACTGCATTCACTATTTACAACACGCAATGCTCAACTCACATGTTGATTTTTACTGTGAGAGGAAAACCAGAGAACCTGAAGAAAAGCCCCCGTGGCAAGGGAGAGAACAACACATCAAACAAACTCAACTCACATGTTGATTTTACGGAGGAAAACCAGAGAGCCCGGAGAAAAACCATCGTGGCAAGGAAGAGAACAACACATCAAACAAACTCAACTCACATGTTGATTTTTATGGAGGGAGAGGAAAACCAGACAACCTGGGGAAAATCCTTCGTGGCAAAAGAACAAATTTAACTCGCATCTTGTGGCTCGGTCGGGAATCGATTCTAATGTCTTGCGCTAGCCGGCCTTTTATTTATTTTAAATTAACGCCGTTGTAGCATCGTTTATGAGTAAAAATAGTCATAATCATATCACTTCCTCTTCAGATAAGTTTGGTTGCCTATGGAGACGACGCAGCAACTGCTTTTGCATTCAGTCMAATCAAGAACGTCCATGAAATAKATGACAGCATTGATGCAGTTAGCTACATGGGAGGGGATCCACGAACAGGAAACGCTTTAGTCAAAGTCAAGGATGGCATCTTTAAAATGTACAGCAGGAAAGACGCTGAGCATGCGTTGGTMCTTTTGACAAGCGGTAGCTCTGCTGATGACTCRAATCAAGCTGCTGCTGAACTGAGGAACACTGGAGTCAAGGTAACCATGACAACCGTTTCATTTTTATGACTGAATGTTCGTCTGGTTTGAAAAAGTAGGTTTCGTATGGGTGGGGAAAATACTTCAAATTCCTTGTTGTACTGTAGCCTTATCGTATCTTTCCGTTACCGTAACTACTCGTTTTGATCATCGTGACTAACTATGTCGTGATTGGATAAATAATTGGAATGCAATGGGAAACCATTTCAGAGTTGCGGTATGTCGTACCGTACGTTTCCCACTCATACGATAACCATCATTGTAGGGAACAATTTCAAAGTTGAGGCATGTCGGAAACCATTTCAGTTTTATGGGAAACAATTTCAGTGTTACTAATTACATAGCATAAAACGCTTTTGTCTGAATCCAAAACAAATTACACATTTGAATATCGCCAGAGTGTTTCATATACCAGTGCTTTGTTGTTGTCAGGTAACAGCTGTTGGTTTGGGTAAATTAGCAAACGTGAAAGAGTTGATCGATATTTCATCGGAGCCGAAATCTAGTCACGTGTTTACAGCGTTCCTTGACACTCTACCCGATCTGCTGGATGATATCGTGAAAGGGGTCTGTTCAGGTAATATTGAGTCAGACATGCTTTTTATTATTACAGCTCATTACAATTCATAATGAAGTTCATGATAGTGATGACGTAAATGACGGTGAAGGTGATGAATGATGTTGTTGGTGATGGTAGTGGTGGCGGTTGTGTTGGTGGTGATGGTAATGGTGATGGTCGTTGTCGTGGTCATGTTGATGATGAAGATGATAGTGATGATGATGATGATGATGATGGTGAAAATGATGGATGTTCTCAAACTCTACTATTAAAATTTCTGATTCTGTTTGTAATCTTGGTATTATATTAGATTAGCATCTGTCTTTTTCCGCCAGCACATTAATAACATCTGTAAGAAGGCTACATTTATACATTTCTTTATCATAATTTGAACCCTTTTTTATTTTATGTTTAGATATCAAAGGTAACCTTGCAGATCGATCTGATAAGTGTTCTTGTGAAGCAAAGAAAGACCCAAATAAAGATTCGATGCATCAGCAACCAACGCAGCCTGAGTCAGGAATGGATTCAGTCAACAAACCAAGCCATAAACCAAGCAACACGACACCTGAGCAGCAAGAAAAGCCGCCATCTGAACTAACTCACATTCCTGATGACTCTAAACTGCACCCTTCTGCCACACAATCTGAAGTAAGCCATTTGAAAGTAGATCAACTTGGTCTGACTCTGAGRCCAGTAAACCAGGATAAACAGAAATCGCCCAAACAACAATCTGCTCCTGAATCAGAATCAAAAACCAAGGAAGCAAGTCAGGAGCAACACGTCTCAGCATCCAATCAACAAACGCCTCAAATAGATACAAAACCTGAAAAACTTAAACA